AGTCTGGGGGCTGTAAGGAGCCCCGGGTTTGAGCAATTCGCCCTGAGCGGACGCCCTCAGCTATGCCCGGACACAGCCCGGTCCGTCACAGTCATAAAAGTGATAGTTGCTCCAGACTGACACACAAGCCTGTGTTTTCCCTGGTTCCAAGGAACTACGCACTTGCCAGCAGCTGGAAGGGCTTGCTTTGCTTTTTCTTTTCAATGTTTCTTTGTCAAGATCAGAACCAGACAGGCTATTGAACATAATTAGAAGTGTGAACACTCCTAACCTGCATCTCCATTTTACTAGGCCAGCTACACCACTCCATGAGATTTGCATCTTTCTGTATTCAGATTCCGTACTGCAGAAAGCGTGGTTTACACAGACGTGGGCATGGAGCTCACGTAGTCTGGGCCTCCTCTGGAGGTGCCTTGTACATTCTGTGCATAAACTTAACCCTGTTTGTTTGCATCTGGTCTAAGGGCGGCTGCTGGGTCAAACCCCAGGCAAATGGAAGTTTTGTCAGCAGTGGATTTGGCACTTGCTTGTATTTGTTGATGCACCACCCCACGGCTCACATTTTGTTAACTAAAAGTTTTCACATAACTCAAGAGCAGATAAACTGCAGCTGCATTTTTCTGCTGACCTGAAATGGCTTCCGCTTTTATCCTGGCTTCAAGCTAAAGGCCAAGAAGGGGATTATTCAAACCCCTATATCTCACTGTGTTCATACAGTTACACACTCAGGGCTATGTCAGTGCCACAATGAGACTTGGAACTGTACAAAACCCAAAAATCCACAGTTACAATTCACAGAGCAGCTTTTCTCCGTGTGCCAGAATGCAATCGGCAGCATCCTGCGTCTGCTGGAACTCAGGGGCTGGGATAGGTCATGAAGTGAGGTCTTGACATGCAACTTCTTTCTAGCGCATCCTCTTTCTCGTGCAATAGATTAGCAGATGGGCACACTCCCATTATGTCCCCTCTGGGGACAGATGTTATCTTTCCCTCGCTCCCATCTGCTTTCTCTCATTCTGTCTTTTTTCCTTTCGTTTTGTCCCTGTCTGGTTTTGTGGCTGCCTTTCTCTGTTCCCCACCACAGGCAGGAAGGCTGCATGCTGCTTGGGCTGGCTTTGTGCAGCCAGATCACCCCTGCTCCTGCAGCTTAGCTCCATAGCATGGGAGCCCAGAAGCAGGAGCCTTACCCTACAATGCTATAACATGGGCTGATCCTGCCATCTGCTAGAATGGCAAGATTGAGGATAGAGGGTGGGCGGTTTTCAAAGAGCTCCAGCCATAGAGTTGCACTGGGGACGGGTCAAACTGTCTCCAGCCCCATTTTCTTCCATGACTCTGGATCCCCGATGCGCTGAGGCCCTCTCGGTGCCCGCCCCATGTGGAGAGCAGCAGCCCAAGTGCGAGGAGAGACACAGCCTGGAGGACAGCAGCCAAGGCTGCCAGGGGTGCACACGAGAAATGCTGCAGCAGTGCTGACGGGGAGTTTGCAGGCGTAAAACCTCTGGCAGAGATGCCCAGGTTACAGTTAAGGCAAATGGGAGGTAGGAGCAGAGGAAGGAGAGAAAGTCTCTGAACGAGGGTGACAGGAGGAGCAAGCCTGGACCTTGAGACCGAGGGAGAGGGCTAGAGTTTTACCAACACAAGTCGGATTGACAAACCAAGGGCTACATAGCGTCTCCTGCCTGGTGCAGAGCGCCCCCAACTGCGCCAGTGGGGGGAAGGCCCACCGCCCTGTCACAAGAAGCGCTCAGCACTGGGTGAGGTCTGGCCCCACATCAAATCCGCTGTTGGCCTGTGTCCACTAGAAAGCAGGCTGCATGGCTACGCAGATGGTTGTGCCACTGCAAGGAAGGTGTCTAGGTAGCCGGGAAGATGCGTTGCACAGTGCCGCCTAGTGGGGAGAAGTGACCGTTGCATGGAAGAGCTGCTACAGAACAGAGAGTGGATGCCAAACTGCCCACGAAATGCTGTGGTGTCAAACCTTTTCCCTCGGCCCAGGTGAAGGAAACTGTTGATGTCCACAACCCAGCATAATGCAACTAGAGTGTGGGCTCAGGGGTGGGGCTGAGAGCTTTGGGGTACAAGAGGAGGCTCTGGCTTGGGGGGCAGGCAGGGCTGGGGCAGAAGGGGCTTATCTTCCGCAGTTCCTGATCAGCAGAGTATTGAGGGTGCTAAGACCAGACCATGCTGAACCCCAGAAGCAGCCTGCAGCAGGTTCCTGGCCAACAGGAGTGCGGAGCTAGTGCTCAGGGCAAGGGCAGTGCACAGAGACCTGCACGCTCTCCCCCTCACACCTAGGGGCCAGGCTTGCTGCCGGCCACAGCACAGTCTGCCTTAGTACCCCACCGGTCACCTGAACCCCCTGCAGCAATGAGACCCAGTGCCCGACATCCCACCAGCCAGCACTGAGCCACAACCCTACGCTTGAAGGCTGCTTCCCTGGTAAGTCTGTTAGGGTCTGTCTACACTACCAACCTAGTTCGAACTAGGGTGGTTAATGTAGGCAACCGAAGTTGCAAATGAAGCCCGGGATTTGAATTTCCCGGGCTTCATTTGCACCTTGCCGGCCACCGCCATTTTTAAATGTCCGCTAGTTTGGACTCCGTGCCCGCGGCTACACGCAGCATGGACTAGGTAGTTCAGACTAGGCTTCCTATTCCGAACTACCGGTACACCTCGTTCCACGAGGGTTTTTAAATGTATCCTTTGGTATATATGGTTGTGACTATTTTCTTCCACTATTTGATCTGAGGAAGTGGGTCTGGCCCACGAAAGCTCATCACCTAATAAACCATCTTGTTAGTCTTTAAAGTGCTACATAGTCCTGCATTTTGCTTCTTTCTGGCCTGGCGCTGTAGTGGAATACAGGAACAGTTCTAGGGTGCAGGCAAATTAATAACCGGCCAAGAGGATGCCTGCTCTGCCCGGGAGACACATAGGAATGACCTCCACCTGAGAGAGCTGTAACACAGCAAATCGGCTGAGCCCAGTAGGCTCCCTTCTAGCTCACCTGGTTCCAGAGGGTCCTGAGAGGTGCTCGGAGCAGTTTGTAGGACACAAGTCATCCGGTCGGGTGAATCCATTTAACTGGTTGCTCTTGCTCTAGTGTCTGGCGACCGGGGGGAGGCTCAGAGGCCTCGGCCACACTATGCTGACAGGTTACATGCACACCTCTGCTAAACGTAAGAAGGCCTTCCACATCCAGTTATTTACAGTAAGGGCTTAATTACAGAGCGAATGGAGACAATGTGCTTTCCTCTTAAGGAGCAACCAATCTAAGCTACCCTCTCCTTCCCTCCCTCCAGAAGGCAGCACTGTTTTCAGCCAAGCTGTTTGAGAGGTATGCTAAACAAGGCAGCTACTGCTTCCCAGCCCATGTCTCCTCCCATTCATGCCTCCTCTCACACTGTCCTCTATGCCAGCTAGTCTCCCAGAAAGACCCCCTCTGGGGAACTGCCTCTGGATCCTGTCCTGTGCAGTCTCAGCTCCTGAGGAAGGGACTGTGCCGGTGCATGCGTGAATACAGCTCATCGCAATGCATACCAATGATACAGCTGTAGTATTACTAAGCTAGAGGTCTTCACACAGGCAAGACTCCCAGTTAAGCCAATGGAGATTTGCACAAGAAAGGACAGAGTTGAAGCTGGATGCTCCATATTCCCCGTCATTTCCGTTAGCTGAAGGTAGCTACAAACCAAACTTTAGACTGAAGAGCTAAATGGTCTTAGTGTTAAGGACACTTATCACAATGTGGCCTCATCTCAAAGTAAAATTGTTACCCTTCCCCCCGGCCCGAAATCATTTTGGAGCGAACTGCAAAACACCTCCCTGCAGAGTGATGAAAATCCTTCACTGAGCGAGACACCACTGGAGACACACACGGACAAAGGGCAAGGGAGGAAGAGAAAGTGTAAGCACCCCTGGCTCTGACCATCATCAAACAAGAGCCAATGGCTCTGGCCTGTGCCGTTTGGTTGGTGTGGTGCCAGGGTTAGAAGAGCGACCAGTCTGGATGAGACCAATGTGCGGAGCGACACTTAATACCCAAAGACCTCGGGAACGAAGTCACATTAATGGAATCAGCGCCTGGACTCCCTTAGCCGGGGAAGGGGCAGAAACGGGTGTTACGTAGCATTTTCAGAACTGGGAGAGAGCAGATGCCTGGGGGAGCTGGGTAGAAAGAAGAGGAGCATGGGAGCTGGGCGGGGGAGGTGAAGGAAGGACGAGCGGCACCCAAGCCTCAAACTTCCACAAGATGCTAGCGGGTGGGAGGAGGAGGAGGAGATGTTGACATGGTGGGGTGGAGCAATGTTACCAGCAGGGACAGGACAGGTGCGAGTGGCTCTGCCCCTCTAGAGCCTGCACACAAGGCTGTAAGTCCACCATTGCTGAAGCTGTCTGCCCTCCAGTATCACCTCACTGAAACCCAGGAATGAACAGTGCCGGGAACAGAGATGGCTTTTGCTTGTATTAGTCATAGCCCATTGTCACAAATGTAACCACTTCCCTTCAGATACTGAGCCTTTGGCTCCTACGCTGTGCCTACAATAGGCTGCAGTGACACCTTAACTATGCCTGGCGTCCCATTCATTGAGAGTTTTCTTTTAGATAACAAAAAGGCAGATCAATATGAAGTACCATCCCTTGCAGGGAGGCCCATGTAACTCATTTACACAAGATACTGTCTCAATGAATGGATTATGACTCGTCACTTGCTTCACACTGCAAGATCCTAGCCTACTACATATTTACTTAAGACTTCTCTATACATAGGGTTGTTCTGGGATAAACTGTCAACAACCTGTTCCAGAATAAGTGCCTTTTTCCAAATGTAGCTTACTCCACTTCTCCGGAATTTCATCAAGGTACAGAATTAGTCGTCAACACTATCTTCTCCTGTCATCTCTAAATATGCAAAAGGACTACTAAATGTTTCTGCTCCGTTCATTTAAAAGAGCAAACTTACATGAAGCATGAGAAACTAGTTTTCAGAAGCAAACGACATTTGCAGGGGAGAAAAGTTTTATTGTAGAGCTATCATAACTATTCTTCCCATTTCAACAGGCAACCTGGGTACCAAGACAAATGTAAGAGGGTCCATTGCTCATACCTCTGAAAACCGATCTTTAGACAGTACAGATGGAAAGAGTATTTCTGATAGACGTAGGGCTCTAAGTGAGGAAAAGGAAGCAGTGGAACAGGGGAAATACAGGTCCTGCAGCTGTAGAGCAGAATGCATTGGTAGACTACGGGGGAAGTTTTCTACAAGGCCATAGGTCATATAGAACTCAGGACATATTACATTTGAACACTGTCTTATGGCAACTCTCCAGAGCTCAGTGTAGTGTAGATTTCAGCTTCTGAATGTAGCTCAATAACAGCGGCAGTAAAAAAGCAATTTCCTGAGAAACGGGAAGGTTTCCTAGCCTCAGAAGGAATAGACACACAGCAACATTACTAGTCTGACATCTGCTATACGTAAATACTTTGCCAAGGCATCCCCTGGCTACTTCAGTGTTCCACAATAACAACTTGTACATTTGGTGCAGTTCAAACCTTAGGAATATGACAAGTCCACCTGAGTCATGACCCAATTTTTGTATTTTAGGAAAAAGCGTCCTTTTGTTGTAGAAATTTCATCGTTTCTCTAGTTTTTTGTACTTGGCTTCTGCAGAAGAAAGAGAGAATGGTTATTCGAACTGAGAGGAGAACTAACAGATCCAACCCTGTAAACTGTTGCGTATTCTAGACTCCCCTTGACTTCAGAGTCACAAGAGGCACTTCAGACAGTTTTTCAAAGGTATTTAGGCACTTATCGTTGCAAGCGGGTGCTTTTAAAATGAACCACTAGGTGGATCGCTCCTATGGAAATCAAAGGGATTTATGCACATACTCTCCTTGGATATCTGGTGGAATTTTTATCTGCATCTTTAGGCACCAGATACCTGATCACTTTGGTGCCTTACAGAATCAGGTGGTGTTAATAATTACATTGCAACAATACCCACACTTCAGTAAGCCTTGACATAAGGCCTGCTACTTTTAATATACCCAAGTTACTATATGCTTCTTGCTGTTCCCAGTATACATCTATTACCCAGCTTCCTGAAAGGAGGACACTCACAGATAGGGACATACAATCCTATTCCTTGTTTAACTGGTTCAAGGGGAGGGTGAGTGGGGTGCGGGTATGTGCAATGGCCCTCCTGCCTGCCCCTGGGCTGGAGCAAACCCTTCTCTCTGCAGGCAAGGGCTCCAGCCCGGCCAGAGCAGCCCCTGTCTGCAGCGGGCCTCCCACAGGGCTGGAACAATCCCCTGCCTGTGGCAGGCAGGGAGCTGCTTCAGCCCCACCGGTTAACCAATTAACCATTCACATCCCTACTCACATACTGCATCTTCAGAGTTCCCACATGGACCAGTGAAACCCTCTATGAAAAGGACGCCTGGCTTCTTCCAGCTACCTTGTATACCAGGCTATCCTGCTCAACAGTAACAACACTGGAAAATGGTTACCCAGTTTTTTCGAATAGGCATCCAGCTTGTAGGCTGCCTGCTCAAGAGCTGCCACCTGCTCTTCTATCAGGTTGATTTGTTCCAGATATGGCTGAAGACCAGCATCTTAAAAAGGGAAAGAAACCAGATCAATCCATTCTTACTCATTCACTTACTGGTCACAGAGGGAACAGTTCAGACCTAAAACCAAGAGCTTCTCAGAAGGTGGTTTGGCAGAATATTTTACAGATGACAAAAAGAACAAGTGTCTGGAGATCAAGTTGTAAGTATAATACAAAATTGAAACTATACACCAAACTACAACAAAAAAAAAATTGAATTAAATCAATGTAAGTATCTTCTCTTCAAATTTTCTGTTTCTAGTTTATTTGCTTTCAGCAGATTAAGTATGTAGCTCAGTTACATGAATGAAAGTAAAACCAATTTAATTATAGGCTTTGTAAGAACTACAGTATGTCGTTTTATAAATGGTATACAAAGACAGACAAGTGCACAATTTTTATCATGCACTTTACACATAGATCCTTGAAATCTCCATCTTTCAGCAGCAATCTAGCAGGACTGATTCATCATCTTCACTGATGTTGAATTGCAAAGCTATTTTAGAAGGTTGGAAAACAAGCTCACCTGTACATTTCATTAACATAACCCATATCTGTGATAGGAGGTACATTACCAAGTGTTACACCAATACGGATTTTGAAGACCCATTAAAGTGCTTCCTAAAAAGCCATCCAAACCTTAGAAAGAAACATTCACTCTTACAGCTACTCAATAAAAAAACATTATTAGGGCTCTTGAAAGGTAGATAAGCACATATCCTGGGCCAAGGTATTCACAATGGTGATACAAAGCATCAATATGGCTATAATATGGTTTCCTTTAGGTGAGAAATCACTATTTAATATCTCTCTCTCTCTCTCTCTCCCCCCCCCCCCCCCCCACAAACCCTTACATTTTTTTTCCTTTACCGTATCTTATGCATAAACTAAGTAGCTGAAATAACTAGTTGGGAAAATAATACTGAAGAAGGGCAAAATATTTCAGTGGATTAAATCTTTTTATCCCTATGTCCCATTGATGTAAATATTATTGCCCCAATGTACAGATGAGAACAGCGATCAAAGTCTGTGAAATCTTGAGTTGGATCAGACACTAATTTGGCCCAATGCCACAGAGGGACTCTGACAGAGCTGGGAACGCAATCTAGGTTTCCTGGCTCCACTTCTGTTAGTTAATCACAAAACCATCCTTCATCTCCCACACAAAAGCAAAGGGAAGAGGATTAGTACTATTCAGAGAGCTCCATTAATTTAACCATCAACTTCAAATGAAACTTATTCTAGGACTTATCACATATTCTAGGCACACACAACCTTTATAGAGTCTCTCTCCTTCAGACATTAATGGGAGTTTGAACTATAGGCCCCTAGATGCTTCATTTACTGTCTAACATTTACTTACTATAGTCATTCCTGATTTGTTTTTACTTACACTTTTGATTTAGGTCTTTCAGGTTTCGACTAATGTTTACGGCAATATCTTTCATTTCCAGATATTTCAAGCTAGTCAGCTTGTTCATGTTTTCCAGAAGTTTGTAGTCTTCACTGGTGGCTTTAGAAAACATAGAAAATATGTACATCTTTATTAAAACTACTAGCAGAATTTAGAATCTATGTGCATGCTGCTCTGAGCTGAAGAGTCACTGGTCACATGAGAATGGCAGCCCAGCTCAGTTCCAAAGTCAGCTTTGGTACAGTTATGAGGAAGCAATAGGATGTTTATAGGTCACCCTTGTTCTGTGTCTGTTCCCGCCTCACCTGGGGCTTGTCTATCCGAACACTTAGGTCAACGTAATATGGTAGTATAGACTTGCTCTAACTTATGTCAACATATAGCTACCACAGTAATTACATTGCTTTTGAATGTCCACACTATGTTCCTTGTCATCTGAAGAAGTGGGTTTTGCCCACAAAAGCTCATGATCCCATCTATATGTTTTGTTAGTCTTTAAGGTGCTGCTAGGCTATAGGTTGTTTTTTAAGTTTTTCTTGTGCTCCTTGTGTTAGCCGTGCACATCCTCACCAGGAGTGCTTGTACTGACTAGACTGTCAGTTTGGGACATTGTGGGATGGCTTCTGAAAAGCAGCAACAGTCAATATAAGCAATGCCATGTCTACACTGACACTGATCGGCCTAACAACATTAATCTAAGCACTATGCTTCTTGTGCAGGTGGAGTTAAGTCGAAGAAGTGGGCCAGTTACATCAGCCAGAGCTATACTTTAGTGTAGACACTTAGGCTGTGTCTAGACTGAATCTCTCTGCCGACAGAGGGATGCAAATCAAGCACTTTGGAAGTGCAAATGAGCCCGCGAGTGAGTACAGGATCTGCCAAAAAAGCTCTGTGCTGTCGGCAGAACTGCGGCTACACTTGACTTTCACTTTCGACACTGATCCTGACCCGCACAGCGTAGGAACGTGAGTATGCAAATGAAGTCCGGTCAGAGGGATGCAGTCTACACGCAGCCTTACAGAGTTAGGGAGTAGATTAAAGCACACTAGGGAACTTTTAGCACATGGCAGTAGAGTCCACATAGGCATTTAGTGCATGGCAAGCAAAAGTGAAATAGATTTACATCTCAACTTGCTACAAACCGTATAGACTAGCTCTCAGAAGATGAAATAGTTAGCTTGATTCATTACCATACCAAAAACTTTTTGAAAGATTAAGTCATGTTAATCTGGGGACTTCTTTAGCTTTACATTCAGATGCTCAGACTTTCTACCTCAATGCATGATCCAAGTGACAGCCATCTAACTGTCCATGTGACCTGCTGACAGATAACATGAGTTAACAGTTCACTAGAATACTTAGTCCTCTTTGAAACAGGGCTAGCTCAAAGCACATTAACAAACTATTAATGCACATCAGCAGTTTGGACATGGACAGTTAGACTGGCACAGGCTAGTGCAAGATAGAGTCACAACCTTACTTGCTAAGACCTACTTACTTCTGTAGATAATACCACTGCTAAATTATATTAAGGTCACTTTAATTTTTCCCACACATGAGGCTGAATGCAGTTTAACTAACCCACTTTTAATTCACACTTTTAAATAATTTAGATTAATTTTCCTGAGTGTTCCTGTAAAGACAAGCCCTAAAACAAAAAGCAAAAGCACAATTCTTTTTTGAACAGTTTACCTCCATGCTAGCCAGTTAGTTCCACAGCTGGACTTACCTGTCAGTTCACCTGTTAAGTAAGTGGCCATTTTGCTGAACATATCCTTGCAAAGCTCATTGATATCTGCTTCTGCTGGTTCCTTAGCTTCCTCTGCCGTCTCCACAGCAGGATCCTCTAATCGTGTTATAAATGAACAACACAAGATGTAAGGAAAAGTCAGTCAAAAACTGAAATATGCACAAGATTGTAAAAACAGTACAGATCTTTTTGTTACATTGATTTTCAACAGATTTTAGATTAATAGACAAATAACCCATAAAATTATCTGTAAAACAGCATAAAGTTCATTTAACAGCTTGATTTTAAATCAATACATATTTTATCTATTTCAGGGGTGGGCCTATTATTACTAAGGCAAAAATTAATCTTGGTAAAGATTGGATGATGTGACGAAAATGAGTTCAAGAAAGTTCTTTGAGTTCAACCACTTCTGTTGGCTGTACCTCCTGTCATTTATTTTTTCCATCTTTGATCACTGATTGAGAACTATTTCCTCTGCACCTTTCAGAAGGTGCTGCAACAGTCCCCCAGTTATGTCCACTACACTTTTGCTTCTCCTTCAAATCCCTTTCTTCCTGTTCTTCTCCACTGCTTCGCCTGTGTATTACTATTCTGTACTGTATTTGCTTGTCTTTTCTTCACAGGGCTCAATCCTGAGAGATGCCCAAGAACTCATACCTCCAACTGACTTCACTAGGAACTGAAAGCATTTAGCAACTCCCTGGGAGAGCTTGGCATCCTGCAGGATCAGGCATGTTGGAGCAGGGAACTGGACTTACTCTGTGCTTGGCACAGCGTGATGATAATTTGTCTGTTATATAAGTCTCAGAGGGATACCCATTTTAGTCTGTATCTGCAAAAACATCGAGGAGTCCTGTGGTACTTAGAGACCAGCAGATTTATTAGGGCATCTCCTTTCATGGATAAAACCCACTTCATCATATGAATTGGAGTGGGAGTTACAGACGCAGGAGTATAGGGATGTAGAAGCTCTTTACGCCAATATTCCACGACTACAAGCTGTCATGAACAGTATCTCCAATGAGGCTACTATAACCTGGTGGCAGAGCTGTGTGACTCTGTCCTCACCCTCAACCATTTCTGATATGGGGACAATTTAAACCTTCATGTGAGCAGCACTGCTAAGGAGACTCGCAATATGCCAACATTTTTATGGCTAACCTTGAACTATATTTTCTCAGCTCTTGTCCCCTAGCACCTTTCCTCTACTTATGCTATAACGAGGACATCTTTATCACATGGACCCACAGGATGGAGACCCTTGAAGAATTCCACAGGGATTTCAACAATTTCCACCCCACTATCAACCTCGGCCTGGAACAATCCACACAAGAGATCTACTTCCTGTTCACTATAGTACAAAAAAAATGATGATCACATAAACACCACCCTATACCAGAAGCCTACTCACTGCTATTCTTACCTACATGCCTCTAGTTTCCATCCAGGACAAGCGACAAAGAGTCCTGTGGCACTAACAGATGTATTGGAGCATAAGCTTTCGTGGACAAAGACCCACTTTGTCAGATGCAGGACACATCACACTATCCACTGTCTACAGCCAAGCCCTAAGATACAACCGGATTTACTCCAATCCCTCAGACAGAGGCAAACACCTACAAGATCTTTATGGGGCATTCTTCAAACTTGACTCTCCACCTGGGGAAGTGAAGAAACAGATTGACAGAGCCAGATTAGTATCCAGACGTCACCTGCATCAGAACAGGCCCAATAAGGAAAATAACAGAGCACTACTGGTTGTCACCTACAGTTCCCAAGTAAAACCGCTTCAGGGCATCATTGACAATCTACAACTTGTCCTGGAAAATGATCCCTCCTTCTCACAGACTGTGGCAAACAAGCTAGTCCTCACCTACAGACAACCCCCAACCTGAAGCAAATACTCATCAGCAGTCTCACACTACACCACAGATACACTTACCCAAGAACCTACCACTGCAACAAATCCCACTGACTACTCTGTCCACACATCTATACAAGCGACACCATCACAGAACATAACTACATAAGCCACACCATCAGGGGCTCATCCACCTGCACATTCACTAATGTGCCATGCCATCAAGTGCCAGCAATGCCTGGCTGCCATGTACACAGGCCAAACTAGAGTGTCTCTGCGCCAAAGGATAAATGGACACTAATCAGACATCAGGAATGGTAACACACATAAACCTGTATTAAAGGAACACTAACTTCCCTGGACATTCAGTCATGGATTTGAAAGTAGCTATCCTTCAACAAAAGAATTTCAAAAACCAGTTACAAAGGGAGACAGATGAACTGGAATTCATTTGCAAATTTAACACGATCATCTTAAGACTGAATAAGGATCTCTACTGGTTAACAAAGTACAAAGGCAATTTCCTTCTCTGAATATTCACAGCTCCAGACCAAATGCTGTGAATGACCCACTTCCACTCTGACTTCATCTGATGAAGCAGGTTTTGCCCATGAAAGCATACGCCCTAAGAAACCTCTTAGTCTCTAAGGTGCCACAGAATTCCTCCTTGTTTCTGCTCTGTAGGTAGTCAGTAAGCATCAGTTCCTTCTGCAAAGAACTATCGCAACATAGCTAGGTGGGGAGAGCTTGATAGGAGTAGGGATGTCAGCGACTACTCGACTACAGGTTGGTCAAGTAGGAACTCAACTCGTGGCTCCCCCCCACTTGCTGCCTCTATCAGAGAGAGGCAGCAAGGGGAGGGAGGGAGAGAATGAGCCAGTGCTGGGGGAAGTCGGCTTAAGAGCTGGTTCCCCCCAGCACCGTGTCCGCAGGGGGCAGGGGAGGCAGAGGCACAGTGGAAAAAGGGCACAAGTGGGGACTCAAACAGTTGTGACACTACCTGCTCCTGCTGGTCCCAACTGCGGCTCCTCTGCCTTGGAAACATACAAGAGCCTGCGGTGGCCCCTGTGCATTTCAAAGGGGAGATGCAGCGGGGCAGCGAGCGCCCCCTTATCGCCCAATCGACGGAAATTCCCTCAACTACTGGATTAGCTGATGAATTGCAATGTAACAGCCCAGACAGCACAACCCACAGGCTCGGGGAGCCCCTCCCGCCCCCCAGCCAGGCGCCTTGGGGCAGGAGCGGGGC